TGCGTCTATCTGTCTGTCTGTCTGCGAGAGATAATAGCGAGCAACGAGCATAGGCATTTGCCAACTGCGTTCTGGTTGCAGTTGGCCAGTCCAGTTGCAGTTGATATCACCGTAAACTGGCACCAAGGTTTGGCGTTGATAATTCGCGTCTTGCTCGCGACACCGGCCAAGCCTCCTCCGACTTTCGAAATTTATCGAATATCCGAAACAATCGTCCCCGTCGGGGTCTAAAGCAGGCCATAACATGCTGAAGGCTATGGAATCTGTTGCTCCGAATGTATGCTGCACGTCCGACCGATCGGAAGAATTTCACCGACCGAATAACCCGAGATAAGGTATCCGGAGCTGATTCCCCGGCTGCCGAAAATACCGCCATCCTGCCACCCCTTTCGCAATCTGCAACTTTTTCCATCTTTTTTTGCTTTTTTCCCCCCCTCCCGCGCGTTCGTTAAACAGGTCGCGACTCGGCTTCCACCGAGAAACTAATCTCCGTTTTTCCGTTCTCCAATTAAATCCGATTGCTCGTCGATTGCTCTCTGTGTTCAGAGTTTCCCCCCCATAACATTGCCGCGCCAATGAAACGAAAGTTACCAAAGTTTGCGTTGCGAGGGAAAATCAAGGATTTTCTTACCATTTGCACTCACTTCGAAATTCCACTGTTTTCGAAAGTTTGTTAATTCCACTCTCCGGAGGCAGAGATAATCGGTTAGATGGCGGAAGTGGGGCTGGCGGAAGTCGCCAGATTTAGCCAGGCTGGTAACGCGCACGCATTATGTAAATTCGCCGTCAAAGCGAAGTCTGTCAACGTTCGCGACGTTCCGCCAATTGGCAGCCGTGTAACTCGGCCCGGCATCGAGCAATTTGTGAAATTCTACCGAGCGCGGCGAGATACTTCGTTTGATGCAAGTGCACCATCGCCAGCGACTCGAACTATGCACGGTTCGAAAAAAAAAAAAATAAAATAAAATCTGTCTGCTTTTCTGGAATTCCCGATCTCGCCGGGAACTCGCACCGCGTTCGAATATCGAATTCAACCGAACTCGGTTGAGTTCGGATGAGTTGGCAGCTATTATTCTCTACATCGGCACCGCTTTTTCAAACGAAAAATTATGGCGAAACCGAACGATTTGCTAATTGACCGAACGAAAGGTTACGCGATTTAATTGCATTTCGACTGTTCGCTGCTTCCATAGTTTGCCTCGATTAACGAGCCAACAAACGTGCGAGCGTTTCACAATTTCTATGCGCCAATTCCCCAGGTGAAACGTCCTCGAGCCTCTCTGTCGGATAAATGGCACGACGAAGATCATTTCCCTCGAACTTCTTGGTAGGATTAACACGTTCCGTTCAAACTATTTGGAATTTTCATTGTAAAACGAAGTAGAACTCTTTAAAAAAACTTATGTTACAAAATTATGTACTGATAGCAGCGTGACGAGTAGGAGAAGACACTGTGTAAAATTTGTTATCAAAAATAACCTTAAAAAGTTAAAAGTAAAGTATTATTCATTAGTACTTGTTATTATTGAATAGTATTATGTAATTTGTATAATAAATTATTATTATTTAATATTATTTATTATCATTCAGTACATGAACAATAATACTAAAAATATTTCGAACAAAATAAATTATTTTAAATTAATTTTGACGTCGCTAAAAAATTGTTTGTTAAAATAATATCTAAAAGTTGAATTTATTGCCTTGTTCTGTAATGCATCTAGACATTTTTCTTAATAATTATAGTTCTCGTATTATTATAAAAATTGTAAGACAATATCTCAGAAGCAAAGCTACTAATCGTACACGCCCTGCGCGACGGAAAATAACCAAAAAATAACCAAAAATTGGCCCGACACGGAACGTGTTAAACAATCGTCGGGAAGTCACGCGAAATTTCATTATGACCGACAATTTCAAGCGTTGCGCGTTTTTAAATTTACTATTAGCAATTAGTAGAAGCTTCACGGATTATTTCACGAATTACTACTCGGCCAAAATTCGAAAAGCTTTCGCGTTTTACCACTTGATGGATATTTCATTTGTCATTACACGCGTGGAAGCTTGAACAACTTCCAACAATTCCAATCGATCTAGTTGCCCGACGATGTGAAATTCACAGCTTCCAGTCTCGAAGGACCAAGCTCGCTCATACATGTGCTACATCCGGCGCGGTTAACGAAAACGAATGCATCTAAAGCGTACATAATTTCGAGCGCAATGTTCCTCTGATCAGCTGTATCGGATGGAGAGAAAAGTTTGTCCGTGAAAAGTTTCTTGGTCATTTAACACTGTGAACGCGTGCGTGCTAACAGCGACTTTATGGTTCTGAACGCATGGATATTCATTTTATGTATGTAATTAATAGCATTTAATTTATCAGTGTAGGTCTAAATAATCAAATGATAAAAACTAACTGCTAGCATTATTCGAAATATAAACGTTACATCCAGAACCATAAAGTCGCTGTTAGAATTTCAAGGTCAAAAATTTCTTTTCTTTTTGTATTATATTCTACTCATCACGAAGGTGAAATTTTCACAAGGAACCATAGCTCTTTCGAAAAATGGCAAAAAAGTTTTTTAATCATTTAACACTGCAGACGCTTGCGTTCTAACAGCGACTTTATGGTTTTGAACTAGTTTCCACTAACATTTGATTTATCATAGTTGTAGCATCAGTGTGAGTCTAAATAATCAAATGATAAAACTAACTGCTAACATTATTAGAAATATAAACGTTACATTCACTCATCCAGAACCATAAAGTCGCTGTTAGAATTTCAAGGTCAAAAATTTCTTTTCTTTTTGTATTATATTCTACTCATCACGAAGGTGAAATTTTCACAAGGAACCATAGCTCTTTCGAAAAATGGCAAAAAAGTTTTTTAATCATTTAACACTGCAGACGCTTGCGTTCTAACAGCGACTTTATGGTTTTGAACTAGTTTCCACTAACATTTAATTTATCATAGTTGTATCACATCAGTGTAGGTCTAAATAATCAAATGATAAAACTAACTGCTAACATTATTCGAAATATAAACTATAAAGTCGCTGTTAGCACGCATTAAGAAACTTTCTTGCAATTTTTCGAGAGAACTATCAGGTGAATGATGAAGAAATTTTACTTTGAAGAAATTTTACTTCCGTGATGAGTAGAATATAATGCGAGAAAAAAATCTTTGATCTTGAAATTCAAGATCAAGATCAATTATGAGGCAGATTCTTTACATGTATTTCCATCAAATCGAAAGTATAGAATTCATTTGTAACAGCAGCGGACAAATTTTTCTTTCCATCCTGTACTTCGTTTAACTCCTTGTCTTGCAACTTTCTTTCCGATATTTTTGCACAAGCTTGCAACTGTGATATTATTTATAGTTTGGTCAGTTTCGAGAAATTAGCTTTGAACTTCGAATCAAAATTTCGCAGAATTGCAATTTGCTTTTTCTTCTGAATCGAAGCCGCGATAAAACAAAAAATGGTGAAAAATATTTCTGTTAAATATTTCATAGATATAAAACAATGTATTTTTGGAGACTCGAATAATTCTCCATAAAATACATAAATAAAATCTTGTGTGCCATATTTATAAGTATTACAGAGATTTCCTGTTCCTTTTACTTTAACGTCTCTGGTGGAAGTTTTATTCAGCCGTCGGTAGTTCTAGTGTCAACGTTCGTTGGATCGGTGAGAACGATAGCAATTTCCGATACATCGCTCGCGTTTCGAGCAAGTGGCCGCAAGCGTAACGTGATTTCCTCGCGGAAACCAAGGGAAATGCCGAGAGCCAACGGTTCAACCGCAACTTCCGCCTTCGTGAAATTATCATCAGCATACGCGTCGCGCGCGCGTACCAGCTGCGAGTGTTTTCCACTGGTTAACAAACGAACAACACGGATGCAGTGCGAACACTGTGCATTTCGAGTGAATATTTCAAATGCGCGGGCTCGCCTCGAGGAACGCGCTTAGTCCAGAGCTTAGCCCCGAGGCCAGTCGCGTCCTGTATCGATAATTCACCCCATTCACGTCTGCTTTTACACACATCGCCAACGATTTTGTTTGGTGCTCGCGATACAACGAATCGACACGATTCGATCAGTGCCGTAAACGGGAAAATTAAGGGCGCAGCGTGGAGAACGTCACGACGGAGGGGGGGGG